GTAGTCCTACTTCTTGTAGCAATGTCACATTCTATAATATTACACATTATAATATTACACATCTGAAACACAAGCTGATACAAGAGCCTCTGTAACATTTTCATTCTATATATGAAGACTTTCATTCAGTATATTTGTGGTTAATTTCATATATTTCAGTTTCATTCAATATATTCAAGGTACATTCTATAAAACAAAGGGGGGTAAACGCACCACAGTTTTGAGCCGAACCAGACAGAGAAGCTGAACCAGACCCTCAAGCTGCTGGCCATCAAAGTTAGAGCTTTTTACCTTCCGAGGGAGTTCAGTTCAGTTCTCCTTTCAGTTGTTTACATCCCTCCAAATGCTGATAAAGCTACAGCTATGGATGAACTGTATGACGTCATTATTGGACTTGAGAACAAAAATTCTGAAGCTGTTTTTATTGTGCTGGGAGACTTCAACAGAGCCAACATAAAGAAAGTTGATGGCAGCTGATGGCAACATCAGTGAACTCACAGACTCTGTCACTGGATATATTGAAAAATGCATGGACGATATCATCACCAAAACCAAAGTCTGCAAATATCCAAATTAGAAACCCTGGGTAAATAAAGACATCCGTGTTAAGCTCAATGTGCCGACCTCTGTCTTTAACTCAGGGGATGCTGATGCATATAAAGCAGCATCCCCTGACCTTCAAAAGTCCATAAGAAAAGGCCAGAAAGGACTACAGGGACAAAGTGGAGTCCAGTTACCACAGCTTTGACACCAGGTGACTATGGAATGGACTGCGCTGCATCACTGACTACAAGAAGGAAAGCAGGCAGTGTTTAGCCCACCCCGTCTCTTGCTGATGAGGCAACAAAGAACACATCCTCTACCCTCAGGAAGACAGTGAGGCTGTAACTCTAACACTCAAAACAGAAGATGTGAGATGGTCTTTCAAAAAGGTCAATCCTCACAAAGCTCTGGGAGCAGACAACATCCCAGACCAGGTTCTCAGAGTGTGCACTAACAAGCTGTTCACCAATATCTTCAACCTCTCCCTGAGGCAGTCAGTGGTCCCCTGTCTGAATGACCACGGTCCTATTGCACTGACATCCGTCATCACAAAGTGCCTTGAGTGGCTAGTCATAGGTCACATCTGCTCCTCCCTCCCTGACATCTGGACCCTCTTCAGGGATCTGCCTATCGAACAAACAGAGCCACTGAGGATGCCATCTCCCTGACAACGCACACTGCCCTCACTCACCTGGAAAAAGGGAATACATATGCAAGAATGCTCTTCATCGACTACAGTTCAGCATTTAACGCCATCATCCCATCAAAACTTGCCTTGAAGCTCATTGACCTTGGGCTGGGAACACCAGTCTGCAGATGGATTCTGAACTTCCACACAAACAGGCCCCAGGTTTTGAGAGTTGGTAAGCACACAACCTCATCACTCATCCTAAACACAGGAATGGCATATGGATGTGTGCTTAGCCCCCTCCTATATTCCTTGTTCACGCATGACTGTGTTGCTAAACATAAGTCCAACACCATTATTAAGTGTGCAGATGACACAACCATCATAGGCCTCATCACAGACAATGACCTGTCTCTCGAAGTCAGCAAAACAAGAGAAATGATAGTGGACTACCAGAAACGATCAGTCGGGGAACACGAGCCCATCCACATCAACGGTGTCATGGTCGAAAGGATAAGCAACTTCAAATTTCTTGGAGTCAACATCACCGAGGATCTCTCCTGGACCCTTCACACAGACACTGCAATCAGGAAAGCGTGCCAGCGATTCTACTTTCTGAGGAGGCAGTTTGGCCTGAATGCCAACATCACTTCAAATTTCTACAGGTGTGCGATCGAGAGCTTGCTAACGAGCTGCATTACAGTTTGGTATGGAAGCTGCTCTGCCAGCAGCCATAAATTACTACAGAGGGTGGTGAAAGCTGCAGAGCACATAACTGGCATGAGGCTTTCCTGCCATTCAGGACATTTATCTTCAACAGTGCCTCGGTAAAGCACACAGCATCATCAAGGACCACAGCCACCCAGCACATCAGCTGTTCTCCTTGTTACC